GGCCTAGATATAGCTTACACAGTGGCTGTAGGCCTATCTAACCTAGGCCTAAACTCACGATACGATATTTTCAGCTATTGTATGATATTCCTCTCATGAATTAAATTTAGGCTTTTTGAGATTCGCGAAAGTTTAATGTCGCGAAAATGGCCGAAATTATCAATTCACAAAAGTTTCTGGTTTACAGTATCTATATAGGCTAGGCCTATGTATGAAGATACAGTATATGTAAAAATATCAACTTTTTTTACAGCTCATAGTTGATTCTGAAAACTGTTTAAAAAAAATTATGTAGAGAAATGCCATCAAATGGGCTTAAAAAACTCAAATACCCTGGAGCGCAATGGCGCTTCGCCCCCTTGACCCCCGACCAGGGCTTTGCCCCTGGACCCCGATGGGGGCCTAGGCGCCCCCCCCCCCCTATAAACTGGCCTATTTCAATTTACTCTCCTGTTACTTTCAAATTTCTCCTGCTACTCAAATTCATAAATAAACCCCTGGTAGGTAGTATTGCTTGCAATTTTAACTAAAACAGTCACTTTTATAGAGTGCATAGAATACCTATGTCCTGTGACTGATACCGAACAATACGCACTTTGGCTCTCCAACCGATTTTTATGCCCACTCCTGCTCTACACTCTCCATCTACCTGTAGTTCACTTGTTTCCCGGTCATTAAAGTATTGAAACTTTTGACAAAATCTTGAATAAGTTTTACTTATTAATTCCAGGTAACCCCCTTAGAAACTCACTTTATTTTCTCTGGCCGATGGCTTTCAATGATCAGTAATTATTAGTTTTTCACCGAACATGTCAGTTTTGTTTAAGTAGAAAATATGGTGTAAAAAGCAGTTTTGCTTTTAAATTATAACATACTGTATATAATAGCAATAACATAACAAGAACGACAATATCAAAACATGTTTTGTGATGTTATAATATAATAATATGTGAAGTTTTATAAATATGAATACTTGACCATGGAATTTGAATATTTGACCATGGATTTGAGTCCTGTGGTCATCAGTTTACCTACAAAAATGTGTGGGCGAGAAGTAGTGGTTATAAGATCTCAAGGTGAACAGGATAGTAAAAATGACAGTGCAGGTTAGGATAGACCTACCATACCGACCAACTGTCACTATACAGTAATGTCTAGGTTCTGGGGCCAAGACTATGGAACAATTTGACAAATAGTGTTCGCGAGGCTTCTATGTGCAATTTAAAAAAAAAAAACTCAAGACGCATCTTTTTCTAATTCATAATCCTAATATTATAAACATAATTTTATAATTATTGTGATGGTTTTTGTATTGTAATCTTAATTGCTCAATTTTCTAATTTGTATATATTCTTGAATTGTATTTTTTTAAATATTTTTGTAATCTTTCAAATGTACATATTTCTTATAAATGTCCTTTCATTTGTTTAACAATGTAAATTTTTTAAAATCTATTTTTGTACAGTGTCTCTCGGAAAAGTGCTTTATAAATCCAAATAAAAAAATAAAATGAACTACAATATCTAGTTGTGTTTTAATGACATTGAATAGGTCAGACTATCATTACAGAGATCCCAAGTCTCCCGAAAAGTCGCGGGTTCTCCCGATTTTTGAGGCCGTCTCCCGCCCTCCGGATTTTTTAAAATAATCTCCCGATTTTTTTAAATATCCCGAAAATTTTACGAAAAATGTGATTTCCACGATGTCATAGAGCATGAAACAAAATTTCTTATCTTAAGCCAATATACTATGGCGCTCGCTCAGCCTTAAAATGTCGTAAACAAGACCAGGGAGTTGTTATTTAAGTTGTTTATCAAAATAACAATTCCATGGCAAGGCAGGCCTAGATCCGTGGTAGAATCCATGTTACGATCTTTCTCATCCGCGCCGACCTCAATCAATGAGATAGCTGTCAGTTGAGTAAATAAATTTTAACAAATTAACGCAATTAGAAATCACATGAATGGATGCCCCAAGTTTTTTTCGCCGCGAAGATTTGGAACTTTGTAGAATCGGTGCATAAAAATTTCTTTTTCTTTCAAGTAAGCTTCAGTTCTTTAATAACAATACTAAAAAAAATCATAGTTAGTAGGTCTTGGTACTAAGTAGTCTTCCAAAAAATGAAGTTTATTTTAATATCGATCCTGAAATACATGTAGGCCTAGGCTCTATATGCACTGCAGGGTATGTGTGGTGTGTTGTGTTGAGTAGGCGTCTGTGTGTAGTGGTGGTCGTGACCCTGCAACCTTAGGCCTAGTTACGCACGTACGGATGGAGCCTAGCGAGGCAGGATTTAATGTTTTTTCATGGCATTATGTACGAATTAGTATAGGCTAGACATATATAAATGCCGATTTAAAACATGTAGTATGATTTACTAACTAAATTAAAATATATATTTATTTTTTAATTTTTCAGCGAACGTGTGGATCTTGCAATTTGCAGTTACCTTGCTAGAATTCTATGTTCTTTGAAGAGATGTAGTAAATCAGCCATAGCCTCTAATATGCCAATGAACCAAGCAAAGCCTTGTTGACTGCTGCCAAGAATGCTTTACTAGCAAAATTCTAAATAGATAATAATATTTATATAGGCCAACTGCAACGTGTAAACAAATGTAAAATTGTTAAATAAAAGTAAACAAATTAATGAAATTTGTTTGTTTTCTTCATTTTGTGTAATACTTTCATGTTGCACAGCGCATAGTAAGGCATCACAGCGCGTCGCTACAGGAGGCGATCGCTTCACGAAAAAAATCTCCCTATTTTTTGGTTTTCAAACTTGGGATCTCTGTCAATAATACTCTGTATCAAGAAATAAAGAAACAATTAAGTTTGGTTTCCATAGAACCGTTCACCCTATCAGCAACAGTCACCGACAGTTGTAGGGAAGGTTGAACCTGGTTTAACTTTGCCGATTGCGTAGCAGACAAATCAGGGTACATTGCTAGCTGCCCTGACATAATCGGGAAGGAACCCTGATTAGTCTGCAACGCAATCGGCAAAGTTAAACCAGGGTCAACCTTCCCGACAACTGTAGGTGACTGTCGGCAATAGGGTGAGCGATTCTATGAAAACGGAGCTTTAGCGCAACAAACAATACACTGTTATTCCTCAAACCACTCTATACAATCTATAAAATCTCTCAATTTTCCTGGACTTGGGACTAGCACTAGGCCGTACTTAGTACATGTGACTGATTAATATTCATTGTGTAACTGTATAGTAATACTGTATAGTAAAAAAAGGGATGTAAATTGGAAAATCCAATGTATAACCACTATACCACAGTTGGTATTGGATGAGCATCCAACCAGTAACTTTACGGGCCTGTAATGTTGAAAAAAGATTGACCTACACATACCTTTGATTTTTTTTTTTTTTTTTTAAATATCCGAAAACATTACTCCCCTCCTACAGTATGTACTCATATTTCAGCGGTGTTCATAACCTGCATCTTTTCACCCAGAACAACAAGTACAGACAACTGTGTTATCACAAGACATATATAATAAATCCATGTCTTTTTAGCTACTACAGTACAGTACTAGTCTAGATGGCAAGCACTAAATTAATTTTTAAAGCGAAGTCTTTTGTTTGTGTGTCTGTTAAATAATTTGTCTTAATTTATTTATTATTTTAATTGCTCTAAATACATATTTCTTTAAGTTTGAAAGTTGAAAAGCTCAAACCCATTATAAATTTAACCCGAGTGGTTCTACATTATCAGGGAAATAACATAACTTTAATGCAGAAACATTACACATTTTCTTTGGTAAATATACACTACATGCGGCATTGCTCCCACCAGAGGAAACAGTCAAAGTTGAAGGATGCAATAAAGTACAATCCCGGTTATAAACAATGACTTACAGTACTTAATAGTATAAATAATTTAAATCTACCTTTTTTTAAAAACTTCATATAGTTTATAAATATTCCCTTTTGAAAGGACATCATATGACAACATTCCACAAACTGTGGGTCACCAAAATGTTGATGGGTCACAAATTTGATAGAAATCATCAAAAATCAGCTGTAGTTTATAAATTAGCATGCTTACATGGAAACACTTGCTATTTGTAATAATACTCAGGTGTTAAACTTGACTGTAATGCAAGATTTTATTATGATTATTTAAAATATTAATAACACCAGTGTAGGTAAACTGTACTGTAATATACTAAGACTAAACATGTGTTGCATAATGCTCCTTCCAACTTTATGCATCTCTCAAATATTGGGTTAATAATAGGTCATAATTCAAGTTTGAATTTCCTAACTGGGTCGTTGATTTAAAATTTTGTGGACTGCTGTCATGTTATAGGGCCTACTGTATTCTAAGGTTATGAACAATATTATAATGTGCTCAATTTTTTAAATTACCATATTCAATCCAATAAATGGCCAGGGTGTTCATTGTTAGTTTTTTGAGGGAGCGTTTCAGTAGAGGCATTTATTTTTTATAAAATGGACACCACAATACATAACTACCGTCAAAATGTGTTACTGCATGATCATAAAGACTTACTGATTCCAACCAGGTTAATAAAAATGCAATTCTACTGTCGAATGTGTTGGGAATGATGTTGCTTCCATTAGATTTGTTTACAGTCATGTAGAGTGAGTGGAGCTTCAGCCGAAGAAATAATAAATGCCTTGGGATATTTATTCAAGGGGGACCTTTATTGTAAATGAGGATCCAGAGGGTGTATTTATTTGAGGTTGGCATTTATTCAAAGTGGCGCTTTTATTCAAATAAATATGGAAATGTATTTATCTAGTCACTTTTTTTGGGTAAATTTAAGGACTCAAGAGGTTGTAATTTTAAGTGAATATTTCTACAGATAAAAAAAGAATACTGTGCCATCCCCTCAGAACCCATGCATTCACATTGTAGATTCATAAGACACAATACAGTAGTCTTAAGTACTAAACTCTCTCTATACAGTGTTGTGCAATCATGGTCTACTGTACATATTACAATAGATATTGTTCAAGTATTACACTGGTGGTAATGGGTGTTGTTCTCAGATTTGGCAAGGACAAGAACTCACAATGAATAGTCTCTGTAGTGTCAATGGAATAAAGTAATGGGTGATCCCTTAGTGATCTCTTGGGGTCTAGGGCCATCAGAAAGGTGGCAACAGTGTAAACAATTCTAAAAACCGGATATTCAAGAGGGCCTAAATAATTTGTAATAATACTGTAGTGTAAAGGGTCGGTATTTGCACTGATATAGGAAGGCAGCTTGACAAGTACCTTGTAACCAGTGTTTACATTGCTTAAGATTAGAATCCTTGGTATGGCAGTGTCTGTACCCAGTGGGACAAAAGTTGGTATCTCGCAGTGTATGTACTGTACCTATGGTAGCGTTAAGACAATATTATAAGTACCATGTACTGTAGGGCAATGTCTAAAAAGTATGTTACGGGACAATGTTTGTAGACATTAGAGTAGCTTGGGCAGTGTCGGTACAGATTTAGAATGTCAGTAAAAAATGTCTTACCGAGCTAGAAAATTTTGCTACCCCTGTAGACCAGTGAGTAAGCCTAAAGTTCTGTACATATGTACCAAGGCCAATACCATGGCAGGGCAGGGTATAAGAGAACTCATACAGTAAGGCAATGTTGAGTAACTCGGTAAAGCTACAGGTACAGTAGTACACTGTAAGTCAAGTTAAGCATTGGAGAGCGCCGTACTCTAGTACAGACAGCCAAATTTATTCTGATAATACATTGATAAGGAAATGTATAGTACAGTACAGTTCGAAATGGTATCAGAATCATTTATTGTCATAATCAATTAAAAATTGAAAAGGAAACTTGTTTTCCCAGATGCAACATTGGTAAACTCAGTCTCCCCACCCCCAACCCCCAAGTGGTGGCACCAAGAGCCAGGACTGCCAGTTGGAGAGCTCAACTCAATTTGTCAGAAAGGGGAAAAAATCCTATTTCCTATTTGTTTTTGTGATTATGAAATTGTGATTGATAAAATTTGTGATTGATAAAATAATCCTTTCAAATCTGTAACTTGTCAGAGTTTTTGGCGGATTCACTCCTTGACTTCTCCGAGAGGATCATCAGCCTTCTCATCTGGAAAATCTTGCCACCACCACTCGTTACTAACCACCTTGTATTCAAAATCATGTAGCACAGCAATAAAGACTGGAGCTTCCATTAATCCAATCAGGTTCAGCCTGAGGCTGACACTTAAGCAAGTACTTGGTACTGTAGTAGGCGCTTTATCTGTGTTGCTTCTCTTGGTTAACTCTTTTAATTTTTAACACCATTATTGGGAATAAAGAACGCAAATTAACCTTTTAATGAATCAAGGCCAAATGGTCAATGGTAGTTAGACATAATGTAAGTTTTTAGTCTTAAATTTATATAGCAGGATGCAGTCCATATTTCCTACTCAATATATAATACTGAAGAAAGGAAAATGAATCATAGAACACAATAGAAAAATCATACACATGCTCAATTTGATACCTGACCTTCACAAAGCCAGTCAAGCATGACAAGGTTGTAAAAGAGCATGTTTAAATCTTTATAGACTTAGTTCAGGAGTTCTAATTGACAGCTAAACCATTCAGGAAGAATATTTTGATGTGGTGCCATGAGTTCTGGTATGTCATGTACTTCTAGTTGTCTATACTTACAAACAAATATTGATCAATGTACTTACTTCCTTTGCGATGCTTTCCAAGCCCTGTTCCTTGTAGAAGCTTAAGATATCATCTTGAACAATTTGATGTCCGGCTGCCTTGGACGGTGTTGTTGGGGCACTTTTTACCGGGCTACCTTGTCCTACAAATAAAATTAAATTTCACATTATATATTAAAAATAAAAATGTTATGCATTGTTTTGAAAGCAACAGAAAACATAAGTAAAATACACACATTTTAAAAATGTGTGATCTACTTGAAAGTATAGGAAAAAAGTAAATTTTCAGGTTTAAACCGAATGCTACAGCAAAAATAAATATGAGAGATAATGACAATTGTTCAAAAGAGTTGTTTTTATTATTTATTTCTAGCACTCTGTGCATTTTAGACCTTGGAATTCACATACAGTAATCCTTCATGATCTGAGAGTTAGCCTAGAGAGAATTGTAATGTGTCCCACTCGCATTATGAGGATCTAAGACTTGCATCACACTCACAGAGACTAATCTGGATGCAGATATAGGGGCCTTGGCCACATTTCATTGTATTCAGCCTACAGCATAGCCTGTAACAATCCATTCTGACAAAGTTCCCAAATATAATTTCATGTGTCTTTCTACTCTAGATGATTTCAGTTTACAGGAGGCATTGCAACATTACTCAACATCAATGGTGCATCTTACAGCAAACACGCACCACAGAAGTGTTACTCATTGAACATTTCTGTTTACAACTCGACCATTACATCACATGATTCCAGTTGCCAATCATTGTTTCAGGAGGCATTCTCTCTTCATTACATACAGTAAAACTCCACCAAGAAAGTGTTAATACTTCTAGAGTTTCAGTAGTCTTATTCATTTTAAGTATGTTTTATGCTTAGCATTAATCCTAATATTATAATGCAAATTGATCCTAGTAGTATGTCAGATAAAAATTACAATCTCTATGACAGAAATTAATTTGTTATCTAAGCTGAAGTACCCTGTTTAGGTGAAAAACCTTTTAGTACTCGATTCAGTTTGCTACATTCTCAGTGGCATATTTGACTTTTTATTTGTAAGTTTTTCATTGGTTGAATAATAATTTTTCCTGATGTAAAAGGTAAAACAACAAAATTAAGTAATATTTTGCAGATTAAGGGAGTTTAGCAGTTTGCATGTTGGAAATGTATATGTGGCCACATACTGTTAATCCATGACCCACATTTTAATCTTGGATTTAACAACATAATTTAATCACGTTTACCTACAACTAAAAGTAATTTTTTATTATATAGTACTGTATTATTACACTAAATATAAAGAATCCGGTTATCACTTGTTTTTATTGTATTGCTAGAAACCCCTAGGACTAAAACATTCTGCATCAAAATTGTGTGAAAAAAAAAAAGAATGTATGAATGGAAGAAATAGTTTAACAAGATTATCAATAAATGGTTAACAAAACAATAACAAAAAAGAGCAATTTTAAAACCTGGGTTATCCAGTGCATTTCTGCATGCTGCCTGTGTGTATGATGACCTTGGACTAATCCACTTTACACTGTTGTTCTTAACCATGGTCCACCTACAACATACTGTACTACAGAAATTCTCCTTCACATTTTACTGTAAAAACATTTCAGTAATCGGACTAACCCAATAAACCATGAACATCGTTTCTAAGACAAGGGAATTTGAGGTTGCCCAATCAGCACAGGGCTCTTAATATTTTTTTTAATGGGTTGGGAGAAAAAATAAAATACATTTAAATATCTGGCTGCCTAGTAGAGGTGCCATAGTCATAAAACTTCCTATCTCAGGCCCAATTCTGATAGGGCTCAAATAGTCTGAACCCTGAGCCTCCATTTGTAGTACTTCTCTGTCCCCCCTTTCCCCTTCATTTCCAAATTCCTGGATCTGCCATCAGACATAAGGACTGTGCCTGTATGTTGGGGTGTGCTTAACTGAGACTGGGATGCAATCTCCATTCTTGAAATTAATTATGTTGACTAATTGTACAGCTGTCTTTAATAGTGATGCTCTAAATGCAATCAGTATTTTCTTTCTATCAGTATTCAAACAGAAACACAATGAGCAACGACTACCAACTTTTTGGTGTTGCTTTATGTAGCGTTAAAAAAACATCCCATTACAGATAAACAATACAAACATTTTAAAATATAAACAAACTACTCTCAGATTAATTACAGTACAAAGAATATGAACAAGTGACGACCCATTTATACGAGCAAGTACTTTTTTGCATACACCAGTACAGTGATTAATAATTGTGTTATGGTTTGTGTTGATTGTGATTTTACCCAACTCCCAAATTCAAAGTAAACACTGATACTGTTTTGTACTGGATGCATTTTATGTAAACAAAAAATATTTTTGAATTTGTAATTAGGGTATTGATTTAACTTGATCGGGCCAGGCTCACTACACTAATGTGCAGTACAAGAAGCTATCAGGACCTCGCAAGGATCACAAAGGCCTTAGACAAACACAAAAGAGTGCTTGCAGTACATCTACCACCTGGTAGCTGAAATTCCTTCATGGTCAGATTCATACCAAACAAAGACACTGTTCATTAAGCAGTAAGTTTAGCATCAGAATTGGAATACCAAGTGCTTGCCTTTTGTTTGATCAAAATTTTAATCTCAAAAACCCATTTTTAAATCCACAAAAAGTGAAAGACAGCTGACGTTTTGTCTTCTTGTCTGCAACATTGTTCAACAAACTTTGGCTTTTAAAGTTTAAAACCCAAGAGAGAAATAGAAACAGCCAGCTATGTGACCCTTGACCCAAGCTGCTAGTTTGTGCAAAATTCACACATGAACCTGGAAATTGGCCATCAAAATTTATTAGTTGACAATTAAATTATCAATTTTTTATCAATCATTAATGTTCATATTGTTTTAATTATAATAAAACTATCATTTTTGGCAGTCTACTTTTAAAAACTAAATTTAACATGTTTAGAATATTAATTTTTATATTGTGGTATTATTTTGATATTTTGTCTATATTTTTAATTAATCCTACTTCAACTTACTAACAGATTTTTGAAAATAATAATTATAATAAATTAATGAAGAAATACTTGCTATTCAGTGAAATTACTTACATTTTTTGTTTTAACTATTGATTAATATTGTTTAATGTAATTTTTAAAAGTCTTAAAAAACTTGAAATTAAAAAAAAAACTTAAATAGTTAACTAAAATAGTTCTCATACATTAATTTGTTTTTGGTTGAAGTAGGAAAGGCCTATTTGTTTTATTACTTTTCATATTATATTTTCTGAACCACTGTGTAAAGTAAAGTTTCCTTCCTTACTCATTCCCTCTTTGTGTATGCCTCCTTATTTTAAGCCCCGTCCAGACTATGCCACGCCTAAATATGGTCATGATGACATCGCATCATGACCATATCAGCACATCCTGACTATATATATTAAATATGCATACAAAAGTTTTTTGTCAAAGAATATTTGATAATTTGGAAAAAGCTATAATTAAACATTACACAAAAAAAATCAGACTATTATAACATACTGTGATCCTGTCTTGTACAATGTTCTGTAACTACAGGTCTCCCTCTAATTAAAGACCCCTCTAATAAAGACCACCTCCAAATAAAGACCACTTTTCTGTGGTTCCAAATTAACAAATTTCTTTTATTATTATTGTTCTAATTAGAAACCATAGCTACTAAAGACCATGAAAACCCTGGTTCCAAAAGTGGTTTTTTATTGGAGGGAGACCTGTATAGACTATAAATTTCCTTAGATTAGATAGTAATTATCACATGTACAGTATTAGAAAAGTGACTATTGGCTGAGAATGAAAAGTAAAATAATAACACCACAGCAGGGGGAGTAACAGCAATCAGTAAAGTTAACACTGACCTTTGACTGCAGACTAGACCTTTTTAATAAGCAAAACATAAACATTGCTTTTGACCAAGTACAGTACTAAGCTATAATAAACATAAATATTAGGCCTCAACTAACTGAAACCACTAGAATTCTACATTACCACTGTAGGCCTATACAGTAGCTATTTTTATTTAAATGTTTATACCTAAATAATTGAATAAGGTATGGCAGTACATGTTAATCCAAATAATATGAATAAAAATCAAGAAACTCAAACACCCTCTCCAATTGACAATGTGGATAATTTATATTTTTCATTCATAATCTACAGTTCAGTTCCTTCCTGTAATTCAAGAATTGTGTGTACTAGTACTATTGGATATGAAATGAAATTTAGTTTGAAATTATAACTTAGAGTAGTATCATATTGTGAGAGTGGTTATCACAACGGTTGCAGTTTGGTCTTATCTTGAGGTCAGGGTTTGAATCCTTCACTCTTGTGTCCATGGGCAAAAGGTAGGTTTTTTTCTTTTAATACCCAGAAGAATAAATCTCGGAACATTTTTAATAAGATGTTGTGGCATTGAATGTTAGTAGCTCATCTCAGCTGGCTAAACTGGTGGTAGCCGCTGCGTGTGTAGGGGTGTGTGCGTGTGTAAGGGTGTGTGTGTGTGCTGAACCGTGGTGGTCTCTTGGTCCCTGGTTAAATCCATCCATCCATTATATAGTTGGGTATTTTATCATATTATACCATCAAAGGTAAGCTCAGTAAAGTTGCCAACACATTCAGTGACCAGGAATAAACTTTGTCATGTATACTGTAGTCATTTATAGTACGTATACCGTAATCTTGTGCTGTCTGCGATGTACAGTTATGATTATTTTTTAACAATTACTTTGTCATTGTATTTTGTACCCATGGCCTTTCACACATTTTATTCAAGCTAAAAATACATTTAACAGACAGTAAAACTGTATTCACTTTACATCATTTAAATTCCATGGGAATACTTTCCTACATCATAAATGTTTATGAAACCAACTGATATTAATCATTACAACTTCCTACAAATTCTGACCTATATTGTCTACTAACCTACTTGAATTTATAATCCACAAAATTTACAAAAAAAAAAAAAATTACAATGTAAGGTAAATTCTAAAGTACAATGCAGCAAAATTAACCTACTGGTGAAGATTTTAGTAAACATTAGCATTATTTAACTGAGAGAGAAGATAAACTTTCATGTTGCAGTACTGTAAACTGTTATCCTAC